GACCAAGCGAGAGGCAACAGAGCAAGCTGCTCCCCCAGCGCCCAGTCAACAGAGAAGGGAACAGAACCCCTTCAGAAAGAAAAAGTACACTACCGAAGTCATGAGGAGAGACTACGGGAATGAAACCACACTTCGCTGGAAGAGGAAGTGAGGGGAGACCTGATCACCACATACAAGATACCCAAGGGAATCGACAGGGTTGAGAAGGACAGGCTATGTAACACAAGGGGCACACGCACTAGGGGACACAGGTGGAAACTGAGTACCCAAAAGAGCCACAGATAGAATTAAAGGTTTTTTTTTTTTTTTTTTTTTTTTTTTTTTTTTTTTTTTTTGAGTGTCAGAATGGGAACGGGAAATCACTAAGAAGTAATGTGGCGACTCCTCACACAAGTAACGAGGCTGACCCCCATACAATGTCACATGTAGACATGACAGAGCCCAAGAGGCACAGGAACCGATACACCTGTTGACGGACGGTTGAGAGGCAGGACCAAGGAGCCAGAGCTCAACCCCCACAAGCACAACTAGGTGAGGACATATATTGTAAAAGCACAAGCCGCCGACTAGTGGCAAAGAGCACTACGCTGGCCAGGCAAAGAAGGCACAAAACTGCATCAAAAGGCCCACCTCGACAGCAAAACCACAAAGTCCCAGCACAACCACAACATGTGCCAAGACCCAAAAAAGCACAGTCTGCAAGCCAGGAAGACCCCGGAACCCCAAAAGGCAGAACCGGGTCACACGAGGAAACAAAGTCCCCTGAACCCACAAAAGGGGGCCCAAGAGGAAGAAACCTCCAGAACGAAACCAAGGAAAACCCAAAGGAACCCAGAATCGAACCAGGGGGAGCCCAAACCACCACATTTGCCGGCGGAGAACACCACTAAAAGGCAAAGCACAGACCCCAGCAGAACGCCCTGGGAAAACGGTCCCAACAGACCGAAAACCGAGGGGCAAGGTGTGGGAGCAAGCATACCAGCCAGGGGCACTGAGCCTAAACCCAGAGGCTCAGACCCAAAATCAACACCCAAACGTTCCCAGAGGAACAGGCAACGGCAAGAAAACACCAGAAAAACAAAGAAACGACAACAGGAGAACAAAAACCCTGCAAATTTTTTGAAAACTCACCAGAGACGCTCGCTCGCACACCCAGACGCATGTAAACAAACCGCAACGCCGCCCTGGTGGCCATGCCGTGAAACCGGCAGACGAAAATGGCCGCCAGCAGGGGCTGTGATTGACGCTTAATACACAAAAACACGCCAGCAAATGTGGGAAGCTAGCAGACTGGAAGGGCGAAAAACGACGCCCAACAGCAGAAAAACCCCTGAAGGGGCAAAACCGCCCCAGAACTGCTAGCAGGCAACCCCCACAGCCCCGGGAACCAACAACAGAGGCCCCGGGGCAGAGCCGTCCTCCAAGCCCTCCGCCCTTAAAGAAAAGCAAGAGCCCATGGGAAAGGCAACAAGAAAGGGCCGCTGGTAAGACCCAGAAGCCTTGGCAGGAGGCACAGGCTCAAACCTCCGTCCCCAACCCGAACGGGGCATCCCCCGAAAACCGCCCGAGTCTCTGCCGCAACTGAACCCCGCCCCGACCCCGAAACCCGCAGACGGTCCGGAGCCGGGAACATGGAGAGAAAGGGGCGAGCAGCACCTAACCAAACGGGGCGGCCACGGGCATTCGAGTGGGAAACCAACCTAGCATGTTGCAGCAACCTAACCTAGCTTGCAACACGGATGCCGCCTGTACTCTGAACAGTAATAACATCAGGAGAGTACTGGAGAACAAGCAGAGAATCACTCGCAAGACTCCGGGTCAAGGTGTCAGTGACCCAACAGGCAGCATGACGGAGGTAAAAATGGCGACTGTCACCCGGAGACAAGGGAACAGCAACCAACAATCCCGTTCAAGACGGGTTGGAACCCGGAAGACACATTCAATGGTCCCCCGAGCCCAGACAGGGGTTTCCAGGGCCCGTAGGGTAACAACTACGGGAAGCCCGGGCAAGGTGTTGCTAACCGGTTAAGAAACCCAAACATAACAAGAGGGTAGATGATAGCACTGAAAACCCCTGAGATGTGTACAAGCACGGGGGCCTAGCAGAGGGCCGCCAAACACTACCAGTGGAACTATAACCACCTTAGGCAGACCCCCACCAGGCAAGAAAATGAAAAACAAAAGAAAAACCCCGCAAAAGTACACCGTCTCCAGAGGCAACAGAAACCGGCCGCCGCTTAGGTGGCAGGCTGCGCAACACCTTGACGCCCTAACCAGCACAATACCAATCCCTACCCAGGGCCAAACAAGGGCCCCAAGCCCCAGCTGGCCCCAAGGGCGAGGCAAATGCCGAGCAGCAAGAACCTCTACGGGAATGGTTCCCGAACGCCCCAGGGAAGATAACCCTGTAACGCAAGGGCAGTACTCACAGGGCGCTTAGGGAAGTCAGCCACTAAGCACATGCAGCCCCGGCACTGATGAAGTACTCCTGGCCACCGCACACCACAACACACGGCAGTGAACGCCACACAAGGCAAACACCGCCTAGGAAACTGAGGCCAGAGAAGCGTCAATCCCGGTTGACATTAGCGAACGAACTGGAGCTTGGCAGCCGGCGCGGTAGGTCCGGGGCTCCCCCTCCCCCTCCCGGGGTGGGGAGGGCTGCGCGGACGATCGGCGCGGCAGTAAAGTGTGATGTTTGCTTGTTTGCTTGTTTCCTTGGGATTGTAGGGAGTTTTCTACCTCTCTGTTCGGTTTTTGTTGTAGTTTCTTACCATGTGGGGTTTGTTTTGTTACGCCTACCTTTCTGGGTGCCTAACCCCGGTCGATGGCAGATAAGGAAAACCCCCAACCATATGGGGTTTTCCAGGGCCATTGCTCCCTGAAACCTCTCTGAAGGGGCCAGGTTCTGGCGATGGTCCCTGGTAGGTCTGAACTCCTTAGCTAATGTCCCGGTCTAACATAACACACATTAGCCCGATAAGCTCCAGGGAGCCGTAGGGGCTCCCCACAGAAAAGGCTTTCGACAGAGTTCCACATAAGAGGTTGTTCTGGAAACTGGAAAATATTGGAGGGGTGACAGGTAAGCTTCTATCATGGATGAAAAATTTTCTGACTGATAGAAAAATGAGGGCAGTAATCAGAGGCAATGTATCGGAATGGAGAAATGTCAAAAGTGGAGTACCACAGGGTTCAGTTCTTGCACCAGTGATGTTTATTGTGTACATAAATGATCTACCAGTTGGTATACAGAATTATATGAACATGTTTGCTGATGATGCTAAGATAATAGGAAGGATAAGAAATTTAGATGATTGTCATGCCCTTCAAGAAGACCTGGACAAAATAAGTATATGGAGCACCACCTGGCAAATGGAATTTAATGTTAATAAATGTCATGTTATGGAATGTGGAATAGGAGAACATAGACCCCATACAACCTATATATTATGTGAGAAATCTTTAAAGAATTCTGATAAAGAAAGAGATCTAGGGGTGGTTCTAGATAGAAAACTATCACCTGAGGATCACATAAAGAATATTGTGCAAGGAGCCTATGCGATGCTTTCTAACTTCAGAATTGCATTTACATACATGGATGGCGATATACTAAAGAAATTGTTCATGACTTTTGTTAGGCCAAAGCTAGAATATGCAGTTGTTGTGTGGTGCCCATGTCTTAAGAAGCACATCAACAAACTGGAAAAGGTGCAAAGACATGCTACGAAGTGGCTCCCAGAACTGAAGGGCAAGAGCTACGAGGAGAGGTTGGAAGCATTAAACATGCCAAAACTAGAAGACAGAAGAAAAAGAGGTGATATGATCACTACATACAAAATAGTAACAGGAATTGATAAAATCGACAGGGAAGATTTCCTGAGACCTGGCACTTCAAGAACAAGAGGTCATAGATTTAAACTAGCTAAACACAGATGCCGAAGAAATATAAGAAAATTCACCTTCGCAAATAGAGTGGTAGACGGTTGGAACAAGTTAAGTGAGAAGGTGGTGGAGGCCAAGACCGTCAGTAGTTTCAAAGCGTTATATGACAAAGAGTGCTGGGAAGACGGGACACCACGAGCGTAGCTCTCATCCTGTAACTACACTTAGGTAATTACACACACACACACACACACCGCACACCACACACACACACACACACACACACACACACACACACACACACACACACACACACGTCGTACCAAGTACCCAGAACACGCTTCTTGGCCTACTATGCAAGGGCCGATTTGCCTAATAGGCCGAGAGATTTTCTTTATTTTCAATAAATTGTTTCCAATTACCTTATTTGAATTATTATTATTATTATATTATATTAAGAACATAAATTATTGACTTAATATATCATACTCAGAGAAGGGTTTTTGACAAAAAAAAATAAAAAATTTTCCAGAGAATTTATTTCCTGCGCACTGATGGGGGGGGGGGGGGGAGTGCCATATTTGGAAGCTGTGCAGCTGAGGGGTTAACAAAGATTTTAGCAGAGCAAGATGATCTAGGAGGACAGGCTCCAGTCTAAGGGTGAAAATGGGATGGGAATCACCTCTGACCCTTAGTACTCACCTCTGAAGCTTAGTACTGTTACCTGGTGACAGCACACAGTGGTTTGTTGTAGATTAATTTGTTTTAAAATGGTTCTTGATGATTTCTGAGATGTCAAGAAACACTTGGAGTTAGTTTTGAATGCCAAAGTTAGTGGTACTCAAAAATTATCTCACTTGAGCTCCTAGCCCCATTTATTAGGACAACACAATTAGCCAGGGTAGCTGGGACTAGCTCTGAGGCTAGTCACACACAGCATAGTGGAGAACTAGTGCTCTGGAGAGAACTACTACAGGGGGCTAAGGCAAGTAACGAAAGAGGTTCTTGCACAGAAATGCATCCTACATTCAAGCAAATAACTGTGTTTTTCACCAAGACATATGCTAAATAATTTCATGGCAAACACTGGACAATTAAAAATACATAAAAGTACTTACATGTATCTGTTCTGCCAGTTCTCTACCTGGTACTATGACAAGACCAAGAGGCGAGTTATGTGGCAAGTTGGATCCATACACTTTCATCTGTTGCCGTATTTGATGCAGCATGGGAGCAATAAATGCTAGTGTCTTTCCATTTCCTGTTTCTGCAGCAATAAGTGTATTTTTGCCTTCTAAGACATGGGGAATTGCTAAAGCCTGAAAGTAGGAGAATATAGAATATTTATATATACAAAAAAACTTTTAGTGGACTACAGTTCCAACAGACAAATCAGAGCAAAAAAAAACCCTCACACTGCAAACAAAATTCTATTGCATCCAAAGTTACTATTTTTCTCTATTTTATACCAAATAATAATATGTTTATATTAGTGCAAATAATATAACATCATTTTGTGTACATGTGATATACAAAATGACTTGGTACACCAGCAATTGAGCGCAATGAAACGTCTCCTTCTGGTAGATCCTCGGTGGTTCCCCCTAACGTTATCTCGTTGAAATGCCTACACACTAATGGGTCCCATCAGTTGCAAGTCCTGTTTGGCCTACTGAGGACCAGAGCCAAAGCTTAGGCATCCCCCCCCCCCTTCCTTTCAAAGAAGCATAGAAAGCAGGGGACTATTACCATCACCCTCACTAGGAAAGCATCCAGAAAGTCAATGAAACTTTACAAACATAGAAAACAAAGCATCATAATGATCAAATGACTTCGTAAACAATTCAGACGAAACACCTGGTTCACTCAATCCTAGCTTGGACTCATTAGAACTGATAGCCACCACCATACAGTGAAAATATTTTTCACTATATTTCATATTTGGAAAAATATGCCTCATGCACTGGGCCCCTTAACCCTTAAACTGCTCATGGCGTATATATACGCCTGGAGTAACATGTCCCACAGTGTACAAGCCATATTTATTTATTTATTTATTTATTTATTTATATATATACAAGAAGGTACATTGGGTTTGTGAGAATACATTGGATAGTACAGTATTTACATTCTTGTAAAGGCACTAGTACGAGCAGCATTTCGGGCAGGTCCTTAATCTAGCAGATAATTTTAAGTAGGTAATTTCTATCAGAATTGATAAATGATAAAGATACATTGCAAGAGAAAAATGAGATGAGAGAGCTTAGTAAGTATATTAAAGCACATTGTTATATTAAAGCTCTGATTGATTACATTGACAGCTTGATTAGTAATTTAAACAAGATTAATAGACACCATACAGCAGATTGACAGCACATATAAGACAGCAATGATCACAATGGTAAAGATGTTCAGATTGGGTACATAAAGATTGGGAGACTGGGTAGCAAAAGATACAGATAACAAGATTTATAAACACTATACAGCAGATTGGCAGCACATATAAGAAGACAGCAATGATCACAATGGTAAAGATATTCAAATTGGGAACATAAAGGTTGGGAGATTGGGTAGCAATAGATACAGTGCAATTTTAAGGCAAAAAGTGAAAAACTATGAAGATGAAATTAGGTACTTTTTAGTATTGATTTTAAATGATGTAAAAGTTGGACAGCTTTTCAATTCAGTAGGGAGTGAGTTCCATAAACTGGGTCCCTTTATTTGCATAGAGTGTTTACACAGATTAAGTTTAACTCTGGGGATATCAAAGAGATATTTATTTCTGGTGTGGTGATAATGGGTCCTATTACATCTGTCCAGGAAGAGTTTCAGACAAGGATTTGCATTTAAGAACAGGGTTTTGTAAACGTAGTTGACACAAGAGAATTTGTGGAGTGAGTTTATGTTTAGCATGTTTAGGGAGTTAAACAAGGGGGCTGTGTGTTGTCTGAAAGCAGAATTTGATATTATTCTGATAGCAGATTTTTGCTGGGTGATGATGGACTTGAGGTGGTTTGCAGTGGTTGAACCCCATGCACAGATACCATAGTTGAGATAGGGATAGATTAGTGCATAATATAGAGAGATGAGAGCAGAGTTAGGTACATAATATCTGATTTTGGAGAGTATACCAACTGTTTTAGAGACTTTCTTAGTTATGTGTTGTATGTGGGTACTGAAGTTGAGTCTCTTGTCTAGGAATATGCCAAGAAACTTTCCATCATTTTTATTGCTAATGTTTACATTGTCAATCTGAAGCTGAATTGCATTTGTAGATTTGCTTCCAAATAGGATGTAGTAGGTCTTTTCTATGTTAAGTGTTAATTTGTTGGTTGACATCCATAAGTGGACTTTTTTTAGTTCATTATTAACAACATCATTTAGTGTATGTGGGTTGGGGTTGGAGTAGATGAGGGTAGTATCATCAGCAAACAAAATAGGTTTCAGAATGTTAGAGACATTAGGCAGATCATTAATGTATATAAGAAATAGAAGAGGTCCCAAGATGCTGCCCTGTGGCACTCCAACGGTTATTGGTAGAATGGGAGAGATTATATTATTGATGGCTACACATTGGTGTCTATCACTAAGATAGGATTGGATATAGTCCAGTGCATGGCCTCGGATTCCATAATGATGGAGTTTACATAAGAGGTAATCGTGATTAACAGTATCAAAGGCCTTTCTCAGGTCAATAAAGAGTCCAATTGGAAACTCATTTTTGTCAAGGGCTGAGTAAATTATATCAAGGAGACTAATAATTGCATCGTTGGTACTCTTTTGAGAGCGGAAGCCAAACTGACAGGGGCTAAGAATGTCGAATTTTACAAGATAGGAGTAGAGCTGTTTGTAGATAATTTTTTCAAATATTTTTGATAGTATGGGTAGGTTCGATATTGGTCTATAGTTGTTTATGTCTGCCGGATTACCTCCTTTATGAACTGGCGTTACTCTTGCTTTTTTAAGGATATCAGGGAAGGTATGACACTCAAGGGATTTGTTGAACAGCAGAGCTATAGGTGGCGCAAGGGCATGGGAGGCGCTCATGTATACAATGGATGGGATTTCACTGATGTTCCCAGCTTTGGTTTTTAGTGAGTGTATGATGGACACAACATCTGACGGGCTGACTGGTGAGAGGAGAAGAGAGTTTGGATAGCTGCCTGAGAGATATGTGTTGATATGTGTCTGAGTCTGTGGGATTTTACTTGCAAGGTTAGCACCAATAGATGAAAAGAAGCTATTAAATTCATTCGCCATTTCTAATATATATACGACACAGAGTGCTGGGCACAATTCAAATGGCCCATGGCTACACGAAGTTCACATCAGCTTCCTCAGGGCTCTTGTAAACAGATGCCATGTTTAAAAAAAATCATGGGCAACATTCTCTGGTGTGAGAGCCACAGTACTGTGTGAGCAACCAAAGCTGGTGCATGCAGCATGAGCTAATAGCATTGCTGTTCAGCTTGTGACCACAGCATCGCCTAAAAAGTAAAAATAAATATGTAACTGCTATTATTGGGCAATGACAGCATTACAGAAGATTCCTGACTGTGATAAAAAACTAGCGTTGAATGTAATGAAACGTCATTTTCTGTGGGGAGCCCTTACGGCTCCTGGGAGTTTATTGGGCTAATGTATGTTATATTAGATCGGGACATTAGCTATGAAGTTCAGACCTACCAGGGACCATGAGCCAGAACCTGGCCCCTTCAGAGAGGTTTCAGGGAGCAATGGCCCTGGAAACCCCCCCCCCCCGATGGTTGGGGGTTTTCCTTATCTGCCATCGACTGAGGTTAGGCACCCAGAAAGATAGGCATAACAAGCCTCACATGGTAAGAAACTAAACAAAAAAATGAACAGAGAGGTAGAAACTCCCTACAATCCCAAGGAAACAAGCAAACAAGCAAATATTACACTTTACCGCAGCACCGATCATCCGCACAGTCAGCAGAGTCCAAGAGAGAGCTTCAAAGGAAAGGGTCGGCTGGGAGGACCCAGAAGCTTCAGCGGGATAGAGTAGCTCAACTGCCTCCAAGTCTGTGTCAGAAGGGGCAAACTCTGGAACTGTTCAAGTCACATCCCAAGCTAAACCCTGCCTTGAGCCCAAAACCCTCAGATGCTTTGGAGCCAGATGCAGGGCCCTGGAATCCCAGGGCTGCCTTCTGGTGGTGGGGATGTGTAACTAGCTAGGATAATGATCTAACGACTGTGTTTCTTGTTACTAGGGTTGCTAATATTTCTAAGCAGTTGATAATTTTTGCATACTCTACCTATCTGGTGGTTTTTCGTATGGTATGGGAGATCTAATATCTCCTGCTTCTTTTTGAGTAGACCAGGTTTTGGACCTGGTCTGCAGTAAGTGATGTTCAGACTCGCAAGGATCTGATGTGAGATGATATATGCAAAGTTATCAAGGCACCTAGCACCAGAGAGCTACCAAGGAAGCCCCTCCCACAAATGGCAGACACCACCAATTACAAGATATCATTACATTCCTATTTCAAATGTAGTAAATTTTGTCTCCAAGCAGATTCAAAGTTATATTTAGTATTGTAAATAAAAAATATAGTAAATACCTACACATTTTAGCCTGCAAGGTTGTAAAGGCATGAGTTGTTTAATTATTAAGATACTACTAAATTATTATGGCAAGATATAAGATTTAAGTTTTGCTTATAAAATGCCACATAGTAAAATGTTAATAGACTCTTGACATTTTTATTTATTTTATATATATATATATATATATATATATATATATATATATATATATATATATATATATATATATATATATATATATATATATATATATATATATATATATATATATATATATATATATATATATATATATATATATATATATACATACACAGTGGTACCTCGCATAACGATCGCCCCAAAAGACGAACATTTTGGGTAACGAACGGCCCGATCGGTGTCAAATCGTCCCGTATGACGAACGCTGGTTTGAGTAACGTCAACACCACATGGTGGGGTTGCGCTGCTTCTTGCACATTCTTAGACACCTCCGACGATGCACATAAATTATGTTGTTCTTGTTTAAAGATGCTAATGATGCTGGGATATAAAGGGGTGACTGCTGAGATGTTGCAAAGCATTGACATTTTTGTAGGAAAAAAGAAATGAAATGTCTGATATACAAAAAATGTCAAAAAGGTTCGTTCGGTGTTCAGCAGGTAGGCTGCTCCATTATAACAATCTTTCTTTGTTTCAAATGTGTTCCATTTGTTTTGTATTTGTCATTTACGTCTCAATAATGGAGAAGCCTACCTTACATACACTGAATAAACCATTATGACATTTTCCTTTCTTCAAATGTGTTCAATATTTATTTTTCATTTGTCTTATAGCAAAAGGTTCGTTCGGTGGTCGGCAGGTAGGCTACTCCATGTTTCTTACATACAAAAAACATAAATAATAAATAGAAAATTAAGATTTTTGAAAACCACTACAAATGTCAAAAAGGTTCGTTCGGTGGTCTACAGGTCGGCTGCTCCATGTTTCTTAAATAAAAAAATAAAAAACGAAAAATAAAAGAACTGTTGAAAAATGGACAAATGCCATAAAGGTTCGTTCAGAGTTTGTCGGGTAGGCTGCTCCATTATTGAGACGTAAGTGACAAATACAAAACAAATGGAACACATTTGAAACAAAGAAAGATTGTCTTAATGGAGCAGCCTACCTAACAAACACTGAACGAACCTTTTGCTATAACGAATATGAAAGACAAGGGCTGCTGGCTGGGTTAGTACTGCGTGAGCAACCATTTGTGGCACACGCGGCTCTAGCTCTCAAACACCTGTCACACGGTGTTGAAAGACTGCGCTCAGTCGGTGCAATTCAGACCCTATTGTTTGAAGAACATAAGGGTCATAACATTGGTGAAGCTAGGCGCAATAAGGGCTTAACACAACGGTCGGATGCCAGTGATACAGCACCTATGAGGATGATACAGCGAGCGTATCCAGTTGTAGCTCTGAGCCTCACCCTTGCCATCTCCAATTTATATAGATGATACATAGATGAATCGTTTTCTGTGTTCAGTGATGATGCATCTGATACAAGAAGCATAGATGAACAGTGTTAGCGGCTTCCATGGTGTTGTTCATTGATATTTTCAAGAATACCTGAATCTCTTCCTGACTGATGGACACTCTTTGAGGCTAGCTGAATCTCTTCCTGACTGATGGACACTCTTTGAGGCTAGCTGAATCTCTTCCTGTGTGGGACCTTACAGAGCGATCTTTTCAAGACTACCTTACAAACTGAGCTTTTCCTATAATCGTTTCAATACTACCTTATGCTTTACAAGCTTGGCTACATACCACCTACAAGTACTAAAGCCAAGGGTGCACGCGAGTGCGTTATTTGCAAGCACACAGAACGATGAAACAGGAAACTAAAATCTATCTGTAGCTGGTGCAAGGAGAGCAAAGTCGTGCTGTGTACCATGGACTACTTCGTTGACTATTACGGACCTCCAAAGTACTGAGTGTCTAATACAGTGTGTTACTGTGTAAATAGTGTGTGAAACTGTACATATTGTAATTTTAGTGAATTTTTACCACGTAATATTGTGACAATAAACATTTATTGTGGACACATTACTGACACATGTATCACAGTTCCATGGAAAATTATGAACATTCTACTGTATACATATTGTAAAGGTCACAAATATGCATCATATACGATAAAAGAAACAAATAAAACCGCATTGGAAATGCATAGAAAAAATATTTGAAAATATATTTGTGGCAACACGCGGTGCTTGAATGGCCTGCGCGACCTTGTCTGGGAGCTGCACACACGGGCGACCAGCCCCTGATGACGTCACAGCGCACCTTGTCCACGCCCTCACAGCCAAAGTAAGTGGAATTTGGTAATTATTTTTACATAGACATGTTCAGGGACAGTAATTTATAATTTTGCAAAGAAAAATGATATTTTGGGGAACATTTGATGTCATGCACACTGGGGGAATTTCACAATAAACACAGTGCATCACACTGGTTACATGGGGGGACACTCGTTTTGTATGACGTCCGTTTCACATGACGAACATGGAACGGATTAAATTCGTTATGCAAGGTACCACTGTATATATATAAAATTGCAGTAACCCATACCTGTATATATATAACTCTTGCAGTAACCCATACCTGTATATTTGTAGGCCTCTCAAATCCTAACTTATGTAGCTGGGACTGCATATCACTCTCAAGGCCAAGGGACTCAAAATCTGGTTCTTCTTCTTGGAATTCATGAAATGCAGGATTCTGAAACAGAATCTCACATTAAGTTGTTTATATCAATTAACCACTGCACTGCATTAAGATATGACGCCCCCGTGGTGCACCGAAAATAAATTCTTTAAAAAAAACTAGCGTTGAATGAAATGAAACGCCATTTTTCTGGGTGAGACCCGGAATCTCCCTGGAGCTATCCAGGCTGATATGGATTTATTAGACTTTGGCATCAGTTAATGTGCATGGAGTTCTAGGCCTACCAAGGTCCACGAGCCAGAGCTTGCCCCCCCTCAGAGAGGCACGAGGAGCTATGGCCTATAGAAACCAACATGTGGTTGGAAGCATTCTATACGCTTACTGTGCTTACTTGTCCTGCTGAATAGCAAACAAACCCCTATTCTGGTTAAAATATTGCTACTGAAAGCTGAACTAGTGGACAGAACTCACCAAATGAAACTGAGCATGACATCACCACGTTGCTGTCTGTGCAACCCCCCCCCCCCTCCCCCGAACAGGAAAGAAGGAAAACAGGTCAACACAAAGCACGTCCCTGGCCACCAAGGCTGTGGAGCGCCGGAAATGGCAGAGCCGCAACTGGACACAACACATGATGCACCCCTGGCCAGACCAACCAAGCATCAACAACCCAAGGACCCCTCCGTAAAACAACAGTCTCATTCCTCACCAGAAAAGAAGGATACAACTGCAAACTAAGAAAACTACCACCAGGACCAAAAGAGCAGAAGCCCCTGCGCAGGAGGAGAGCATGAAGCCCCTCGACCCGATCCCTAGAGGTCAATGCCAATAAGAAAAGAGCCTTCGCCAAACAACAAACAAACCTGAACCAAAGGGGCCACCACAAACTGAGAAGAGGAGGAAAGGCGAGCACCCGGTCCAATGACCACGACGGCTCAGTCGGCACATGAGCAGGCCAGGTGAAACAATGCACGAGACAGCTTGCAGAATGAAGCAAAAGTAACATCAATACCGAACGCAAGCTGCAGCGGCTCCGCCAATGCAGCACAATACGAGGCAACAGTATTCGGCATAAGAAGACGGTCCCTTAACAATCACGAAAGGAAGGGCAAGACAACCCCATTTAAGACAGACAACTTCATACTGCTGCCAAAGCACGCAGACACCATCAACGAAGCCACCCGCACACAATACAAGTGATGATAGACTCAAGCAGAAGAGCGAATCAGCCACATACTAGGCTGGATCGATCTGCTGAAAGAGGTGGAGCCGAGGGAAGACCCTCGGGTTCGGACACCAAGCAAGCAGCACCTGAAACCAAGGCTGGGCCGGCCACCAAGGGGCCAGAAGGACACCTCTTCCCTGGTAAGTCTGCAAGCGAGCCAGGACCTGGAGCAACAGATGAACTGGGGGGAAGAGGTATAGGCAATCCCACCTAGCCCAGTCCTGCCTGAAGGCATCGACTCCAACGGCCTTGCAGGAAGGGCGCCACATATAACGCGAGACTCCGCAACCACGCCGATGCGAAGAGGTCTACTTCAGGAGTACGTCCTGTACGTCCAGCAGAGCCAATTGAACGAGTCGGCGCCGACCGTCCATTCCGCGGACCCCGAGAACACAGCAGACGAGTCACCTGAAGCGACCAGCCCCAAAGAGCCAAGGAGCACACCAAACCCCTGCAGTTCAGGCAAAGAACCACCGGGGAGCAGTCTGAATGAGCCGGATTGTTGATCCACAAGTGACCTGAACCCTTTGAAGCAACGTCCACACAGCCACAAACTCCTACATCGTGCTGTGAGCCCTACAGAAGGATGAACCCCACCGTCCCTGAGCGGCCTGGTGAGCACTGGTCATAATGCCCAAGCCAAGAAACAACGCGTCCGTGAACACACACAGCGAGGGCTCGTGGAGGCGCCAAGGCACTGAACCCTAAAAAAAACGAAGAGAAAGCTGGCGATGCAGCAGGTGACGCAAGGCCCCTGGAGGCCAAACCCAGCGATTATGAGAGAGGCGGAAGTGATGGCCTCGAAGGAACCCGAACATCCTAAGAAGCTAAACCCAACCCAGTGAGTAGACCATCACGGCAAAGTTCAGGCTCCCTCAGAACCCCCAAGCAACCGCCGAGTGACCCGGAAGCCCCCAGAACATGCGAAGGCGCGACAGCAGCCGAAGCATAGACTCCAGAGGGTGAGATAAGGAAGCGGTCCGAGAGTCCCCCCACAAGACTCAACCAAGTCCGAACTTGAGAGGGAACCAGTTCACCAAGAACCCAAACCCGGCGAGCTGTGAAAGAAACAAAACCCAGGTGAGCAGACACACAGACTGGCTGGGAGCCCACACCAGCATATAAACACACAATGGTGCCAGGTACAAGCCTAAGGGAAGGCAACGAAAGCAGTAAACGAGACACCCCACAACAAAACCAAGCCAGACCCCTGAACTCCGGATGAATCAGTATCTGCCAATACATGTCCCGGAGGTCCAGGAACACCATCCAAGCACTTGGCTCCAAAAAGACCTGACCTGGGACAGAGTAGTCACCTGAAAGAAGGGGCAAGAAACCCCAGGGGTTTAGATGGGACAAGTCCAGAATGAGCCATAGCTCCGCACAGTCCTGTTTCGGGACTGGGAACAAACTGGAAAACCCACCTGAGGGACATCGTCGTTTCGACCACGCCTCAAGCGTACCCACTCCAAGATGACTCGACAGAGTGCAGGAGAAGAGGCCTGGCCCCGCCAGCCCCGAACCCCCCGAAGGAGGAGTAGCCACCCAATGCCATCACAGGCCGGCTGAACGACCCGAGAAAGCCCACAAAATGTGAGACAAGGCATGAGCAAACAGCATGAGCCTCCCCCCCATTGCCTCGTCAATGGGGCGAACTGTGAAAGGGCTAAAGTCCCTCACGAGAACCCGACAGACGCGCAGAGCAAACACCACGCCAACCAGAAGCAAACAGGTCAGAAGCAAACAGGTCCGAAGGCAACGCTGGCCTATCACAACGAGGTTGCTGGCCTATCACAACGAGGTTGCTGGCCTATCACAACGAGAGGAACACCAAGCCCTGACACGACGCCTCCGAGAAGAACCCCCCCTTCCCCCCCGGAGAACCAACAAGTCCGAATCCGATGGCAACTAGAAGAAGCTGCCCGCAGAAATTGCCCGACTGCAGAAACTGCAACCAGCAAAAACAAAAAGGCGATGAAAACCGAAGATCCAGGGCCCACGCAGATTCCAATAAGGAAGCGAGCACCAACTGCCAACATGCGAGAAGCGAAGCGAAAAATAGAAACGCTGCATCCCGTAGGACCGGCGTAAACAGCTCCAAAAGAGCAGATGACACACGCGCCTGCTGAGACCAAGGCTCCATACTCAGGAAAGCCCTAGCACCTCCACATCCCCCACAAGCCAATCCGAAGACAGCACCAGGAGGGAAAAAACCTCAAGACCGAAGCCAACAGGCCACAAGCCACAAAGAGGTCAAGTTAGCTAGGTGGGCTTAAGCAACCAGCGCAGCCAAAAGGGAGGGAACCTGCACATGAAGCTACACCACGCCAACATCCCGAGGAAGGGCAGGGGCGAACAAGCATGCTTTGAGGTGCTCAACTTGCCCTCTAGGTAAACCTGGACCACCGTCAGCGCTCACGCCACCCAAGCATGCAGGTACAACAGAAAGTACGTCAAGCATCCAAAGACAACACAGGGCAGTCCTCTAGCCAGGGCGACTCGAGAACCTCATAATGAACCCAGTAGGGAGACAAAGACCCCAAACCTGAATGAAGATGGATTCATAAGAGAGGCATAATTCGATTTGCAGAGGAGATAAGCCACAATGGCTTCTTGCACCTCATGAGGCGGGAAGCCAAAAACCTCAGGAAGGACAGAACAGACGGACCCGAAGGGACACGGAACCAAACCCGGGAAGAGGCAGACACCAATCCAACATGTACGCGAAGAGGGGGGGGGGGAAGAAAACCCCACTCCCCACAACAGTAAGCCCTGCTTGAAGGGTAGAAAAACCCAGGCGAGGTCTAATGGGGTCCAAGGCCCCCAAGTCAGCCTCTCCCCAATCCCGAGAACCTTTACACCAGGACCTGGGACCGAGTCGACTTCCAAAGCTCCGGCCTCAAAGAAAAAACAAGGGCAGCCGGAAAGGCAGGAAGGAAGGAACAAGGCCCACTGGTCAGACCCTGACACAGCTGGAGGAACCAACTCGAGTGCCTCTGTCGCCACCCTGGAAGCGGCATACCCCAAGACTGCCCGAGTTTCAAAACCAGCTAAACCCTGCCCCGACCCCAAAACCCGCATTCGCTTTGGAACCGAAGCAGGGGGGAAAGGACTAGAATGAACCACAGCAGGGGAAGAACGAGGGGGTGCAGACTGAACCAAGGGCAAAGCTACCAACACTCCCAAATCCGGGTCCCTTTAACTAAAACAGAGCAGAATCGGGGCTTCCGGATCAGCAATCAACCTAGCGCATTGCAGCAACCTAAACCTAGTCTGCAATGCCTGAGCTACCTGCACCCATATAGTCATCAGTGGACTGGGTGAACCGAGTCACTAACAAGCAGCAAAACTTGCAAGACTCCGGGTTGAAGGTATCACCAACCTAACAAGCAGCATAACGGAGGCAAAAGACAACGAGTCACCCTGAGACAAATGGACACAACCACCCTCAAACTCGCACAAGACTAGAGGGGACCCAGAGATTGCACCAAACGGACCCCTTGCACCCCACAAGGTTTCCCAGGGTTCTTAGACTGATATTGCCAAGAGAAGCCCACAGAGGGTACTGCAAACCGGTGCCCAAGTCTACCAACCAAACTTCTAAAAGCTGAACCTCTGGGATGTGTCCACTCACGGGGGGCCTAGCAGGGGATACCACCAAGAAACACAGATACGTATATAACCCTAAATATAGACAGCGGGTAACCAAAGGCAGACTCCCCCACCAGGCAGGGAAAACAAAAACAAAAGAAACGTGCCCAGGCGGAACAGAGCCAGCCACTATGAGAGGTGATAACTTGCTGTGTAGTACCCTGTGCTCCTACCAGTGCAAACTACCCCTTCCCAAATGCAAACAAGGGTGCAAAAAACACCCCAGCACACTAAGGGTGGTCAATCACCGAGCAGCAAACGACCAAGCAGAGGTAGATCCCAAGGTGACTTGTGTAAGGTGGGCCCAAGCCCCAAGGCAGCGACATCAGGGCACCTTGGGAAGGTGACCCTAGGCGCATGCAGAGTACTTGTGGGATTACTCCTGGCTCTGGTGCAACTGCAGGATAGATCACCGGCACGTGATCTGGGGTGGGGGGGGAAGGAGTTATGCAGACAAGTGGTGCGGCGACGTGATGATGTCATGCTCGTTTGCTCATTTTTATTTGGGGAAGTTCTGTCCACTCATTTGACTTTCAGTAGTAATTTCAACCAGAATAGGGGTTTGTTTTGGGATGCTTACCTTTCTGCTTTACCCAGTCAATGGCAGACATGGAATGCTCTATAATCACAGGTGCATTTCTATAGGCCATTGCTCCTCGAACCTCTGAGGGGGGCCAGGTTCTGGCTCGTGGTAGGCCTAGAACTCCATTCACATTGACTGATGTCAAAGTCTATTATATCCATATCAGCCTAAACAGCTCCAGGGAGCTGAAGGGGTTCCCCCCAGAAATTGCACAAGTTTAGATTAAGAAAAAAACGGGTAACGTAATAGATGTGGAGTTGTTTCAAACATAGGTTAGACAGATATACAGTATAAGTAATGATGGTTGGGTAAAAATAAAGAGCTGCTTTACATGGCCAATAGGACTTGTGTAATTCCTCTGCTCTCACGATTATCCATGCTTCCTTTAACACTCTTATACATATCCAGCCAATCATTAGGGTACAAAATATACAAAGAACAACAATAATCTATATGAGCTGTATATTTTGATGTACACAAATGAATCATATGAAAGACACGAACAAATGACATACTGCGATACATACTCCACCACAGCCATTGATAGTGAAGTAATCTCCAGCAGATTTTCTGTGGCCCCAGCCCTTTGATGCAAGGGAAACCTCAGTAAATTTGTTGTATGACTGGCCAAAATAGTGGTTATATTCTTTTCTTTTGCATGAAATTACAGGCCTCTGAAAATGCGAAAATTTTGTACTTTAAAAATCCTGAATATACTGTGCCAGTATTCTAAGGACATAAAATGACATTATATAATATAAGTAGTTTGATATATTACTTGATATATAAATTAATATATTAATATAAATCTATAAGGGCTGTGATGAGGGTTCAAACCTACATCCAAGAGGATCCCAGACGCGCCTTAATCGACTGTGCCATGACACGGTTATCCTCTGGGATCCTCTCGGACATAGGTTCGAACCCCTCATAACGGCTCTTGTGGATTTGTTCATTTGATGCATCATGATATTGTGATTTCTGTGTGTAATATTAACATAAAAATTGTATATACGTATATTAATTTAAGTCTTGATTCAAATTTTAATTAAATTTGGTTGCACAATTTAAGGAAATACTACAAATTTGCTTCTGCCATCCACCACGGGCAACATTTATTGGATACAGGGAACTGTTTTGAAGGGCACAGGACCTGATCAAACATTACCTGATTTGGAACAAAAAACTCTAGGCATGTGGCTTAAGTCAATTATCATGTTTTAATATAGATTTGGCCGAATTGACATTTATCACTTTGTGCAACCAAAGGGTTAAATATGGTGTTTATTGCTGATCAAATTTAAAACCATACAAAAGAATAAACATACAGAATGGTCACCTCTCCGAGATTTCTCCAAAGAGAGCTCTCTTTCTTGTCTCCTCCTTTTCCTATTTTCTCTCTTCAACTTCTCTGCTACTGCCACAGGAACACGAATCACAGGAAACGAATCTTGCGTTGAAGCCCATCTTCTCTGAAGAAGAAAAAAAAAAAAAAAAGAGTATTAGGAAGAATATGAAGCAGAAACGAAACTCATGCTTATTTACAGACAATAGAAATTGCCAAAATGTAAAGGGATTAACATTTTATGACTTTGGGAAATGTGTATATGTAAAAGTAATGTTTGATTGGGTTAGATTTGGTTTGGTTTGGTTTGGTTTGGTTTAGTTAAGCTAGCTTTGTTTGGTTAGCTTTGGTTTGGTTAGGTTACCTTTGATTTGGTTTAGTTAGGTTATGGTTGGGTTGGGTTTGTTTTAGTTTGGTTATGTTAGCTTTGACTTGGTTTGGTTACGGTTGGTTAGATTAGGTTGGGTCTGGTTTGTTTTGGTTAGGTTAGGTTAGCTTTGGTTTGGTTAGGTTTGGTTTGATTAGGTTTAGTTAGGTTTGGTTAAGTTATGCTAGTTTGGGTTTAGTTAAATTTGGTTAGGTTAGGTCAGGTTAACATTCACCAGTATGATAACAAGGTTGTTTCATTGGCATTATAAATTTTCTCCAGAGAGAATTGTCCTGCACAATCTCAACTTTGGACACACATTCCTCTGCACCTCTACCCAAGATTGCCCAAAGCCTCCTAGCAATACATAAGTAATGAAGAAATTCAATATATACTGTACTGTATACTAATTATAAAGTTGGTGCTGAATGCAGAACATGAAAAAACATATTTTTACTCAAAAATAACCTAGTTTCATACTAACATAAGAGGAGAATATGAGGCAGATGACATTATAGAAAGTTGATGATTCAAGCAACAATGTTGCAGAGCAACTTGTCCATTGTTATATTGTATATAACATAGATTATATTGTCCATTGATATAGTGTTGTATGGACAGTTTCCTGGCATATCAGCCTCCTGTTCTCAGTGATCAATTGTCACACTTTTCTGTTCAAATTGTTGCAAATTTAATGATTTGTCTACAATGACAGCCCCATTGTAGACAAAGAAGCCACAGCTTTGTTGAAGGCAGCAACAACCCCCAGTGATTGTGCATGCCTCACAGCTATGAAGGCTTCCCATGCAGGGGGACTTCCTTTTGGCACTCCCTATGTCTGCGACAGGCACACATCTTGATCCGCAGCAGCTCCATATTGCTGTCACTCTCTGCTTTGCTGCCCCTATACACAATGTTCATAGGTGTATTTGCAATGAGGCAGATGCAGACGAATATGGATTGCATGGCCTGCACAGTGGAAAATCAGACGGTTCGCACTCTAGACACGACGAAGTCAATGATATTATTAAAAGGAGCCTTGCCTCTGCCCAGTGTCCAGCAGAGAGTGTCCCGCAATCTAATGAACCGTAACTCTGTTAGCTTTGCCGGCCGACCAGATGGAATCACACTGCGCCCTTGGAAGGGTGGCAGACAGTTGGCGTGGGACTATCAGCAGTATCCACCCTGGCAACCACATACATCAACCTCACTGTGGGCCAAGCAGGAGCTGTGGCAAGTTCCCTTTCATTATAACATCAGGCAGTGATGACTTTTCTGGGGTACACTCTCTCCTACATTTTGCAGGCCTACAACTAGGACCTGGTTGTGGCTCAATGCTTGCTTGTCTTACTAAGAATCTGTCTAAAGACACTTGTTTTCCCTACATTTTAACACTTGTCTGTAGTGAGACATCACATAGTCATTCAAAACGTCAATGCAATGGCCTGCTATAGCTTTATCTGGGCGAATTTTTTTCAACAAAACTTTACAGCACTTCCCATACTTCACACATTTTCTTAATGAGGAAGGGACATCCTCTACTGCCTCTACTCAACTATTTTCTTAGGTTGAACCGTACCACTGACTTTCTTGGGACCCATGGCATGATATATAATACAGTGGTACCTTCGTTTATGATTATAATCTGTTCCCAGATATGCGTTGTCAACCAAAAATTTGTCAACCTGAATTCCTATAAGAAATAATGCAAATGTAATTAATCCATTCCACACTCAAAAATATTAACTTAAAAAATTATTTTATACAGAACAACTAGAATTATGTAGCCGATATTAGGCAGGTTCCATTTACATCAACTCTTTCATCCATGTACTGTACATAGCCAGTCTATTCTTGAAACCTGTTGAACTGGTTGTCTTGACAAAGTTCATACTCTTGAGAATTTGCTAGTGGATTTAAAACCTACCAAACCTTTTCCTACTTAACTGAACCCAGTTCTTCCTAACCCAACCAAACCTAGCACTGCCTAATGTAGTTAATACCTGGAGAGGATTCCTGGAGTTCTTGTACTTCTCAAGCCCTGCCTGGGGCTAGGCTCTACTTTTGATAACTTGGCTCATGCTTGGAGCAGCTCAAAGACCCACATATTCACTTTCTCATAACAAACATGGATGTAACACCACCAGAAAGCAAGAAACTCACATTCAGGCTACACAATGAAGCGGCTATAGGCAACCTCTCAAATGCACTTCACAATATTAACTGGGAATCTGAATTCAATAATACACAGGATATAAACTCATTAGCTAACCTTTTTCTCTCCAAAACTCTAAGCCTCTACAACACTCACTGTCCCCTCCTTACCAAACAAGTAACTGACAAAAGAATAAACAATCCGTGGCTCACAAGTGGGATTTTCAAATCACTTGACAAAAAACATGAATATGAAAAGAAATTTAGGATTGGCCTAGTTACAAAAGTAGTTAAAAGGTACTCATCAGTGCTTACCAGTATCATAAGAAAAGCTAAACATTCATATTATGAGAATAGATTCAAAGAAGCAAAAGGCAACATGAAAAGCACATGGAAGTCATTTCTAATATCCTAGGAACTAAATAACACTCCCACAACCACATAAAACTCTCTACCCTGGAAACACAAACCGAAACTGTCTCTATTTTCCGCTTGTTACAACTTGAAATAAAGTTGTTACATCTTGGCTTAACGTGTTTATGACGTATTAGAACGTTGTTACAACTTGTTATATTGGTTGTTATAACAGGTTAGGTGTTAAAACTTGTTCGAACGTTGTACCAACGTCTTAGTTTCGGTGTGTGTTTGGCGGGTAAGGATGACTATACACCGTTAACTGATTTAGAAATGGTAAATGAATTTAATAGCTTCTTTTCATCGGTTGGTGCTAACCTTGCCAGAAAAATCCCTCAGACCCAGACATATATCAACACATATCTCTCGGGCAGCTATCCAAACTCTTCTCCTCTCACCAGTCAACCCGACAGATGTATCCATCATACACTCAATAAAATCCAAAGCTGGGAACATTAGTGAAATCCCATCCATTGTATACAAGAGTGCCTCTCATGCCCTTGCGCCACCCATAGCTCTGCTGTTCAACAAATCCCTAGTGTCATACCATCCCTGATATCCTTAAAAAAGCAAGAGTAACGCCAGTTCATACAGGAGGCAATCCAGCAGACATAAACAATTATAGACCAATATCAAACCTACCCATACTATCAATTATATATTTTTTTCTGTATTTTTCTTATAGGAAAAAATTATCTACAAACAGCTCTACTCCTACCTCGTAAAATTTGATATACTCAGCCCCTGTCAGTTAGGCTTCCTCTCCCAAAAGAGTATCAACGATGCAATTATTAGTCTCATTGATATAATTTACTCAGCCCTCGACAAAAATGAGTTTCTGGTTGGACTTTTCATTGACCTGAGAAAGGCCTTTGATACTGTTAATCACAACTACCTCTTACATAAACTCCATCATTATGGAATCCGAGGCCATGCCCTGGACTATATCTAATCCTATCTTAGTGATAGACACCAATGTGTAGCCATCAATGATGTAACCTTTCCCACTCTACCAATAACCGTTGGAGTGCCACAGGGCAGCATCTTGGGACCTCTCCTATTTCTTATATACATCAATGATTTGCCTAATATCTCTAACATTTATTCTTTTGTCAGTTACTTGTTTGGTAAGGAGGGGACAGTGAGTGTTGTAGAGGCTTAGAGTTTTGGAGAGAAAAAGGTTAGCTAATGAGTTTATATCCTGTGTATTATTGAATTCAGATTCCCAGTTAATATTGTGAAGTGCATTTGAGAGGTTGCCTATAGCCGCTTCATTGTGTAGCCTGAATGTGAGTTTCTTGCTTTCTGGTGGTGTTACATCCATGTTTGTTATGAGAAAGTGAATATGTGGGTCTTTGAGCTGCTCCAAGCATGAGCCAAGTTATCAAAAGTAGAGCCTAGCCCCAGGCAGGGCTTGAGAAGTACAAGAACTCCAGGAATCCTCTCCAGGTATTAACTACATTAGGCAGTGCTAGGTTTGGTTGGGTTAGGAAGAACTGGGTTCAGTTAAGTAGGAAAAGGTTTGGTAGGTTTTAAATCCACTAGCAAATTCTCAAGAGTATGAACTTTGTCAAGACAACCAGTTCAACAGGTTTCAAGAATAGACTGGCTATGTACAGTACATGGATGAAAGAGTTGATGTAAATGGAACCTGCCTAATATCGGCTACATAATTTTAATGTTCTAATGTACACTGTCACAAAAATATTCCCAACACTGGGATTTACATCCTACCCACTAACTTGTCTTCGGCAGCACGTATGTAAAAAGTGTCCAAAACTTAGATGTTAATGATAAACAATGTTTAAATCTTTACCTGAGTAGAGTACGAGAGCTGAGAAAGTTTTAATGGTTGGAGCGCTAAGCGAAAGACTTCATTTATAATGTTAGCCATGATTATTCTCCAAGAAGTTCTTCTTTACAACAAGTGCAGTTTGCATTAAGGATATCTCCTCGTAATGACTGCACGAGCTCTCCAGGGCAGGTAGCCTCTTGTTGCTGATTTAGGGGGCGACGACGATCGTGCGGACTAGTAGCCTGGCAGTCTTCAGAGTAGGTGCAGTTTGCATGAAGGGTTTGTCCTCCCGATGACTACACCAGTACAGATGTTGGTAGAGGCGTTTATGTTGAGGATGATAAGAGTTTCAAAAGTGCTTGTTGCGTTGTGGTGTAGACAGAGGAGCGGCGACTAAAACATAGGTGTGTGTTGTAGTGAGACTTGCCGCACCGCAGGGCGGTGTGTTGTGTTTACGGCGTCAGCTGATCTTGGGGCTGCCACGAGGCGGTTGTTGTCTGTGTCCGTTGGTGGCGCCAGGTATAAATGTGGCGCGGGTCAGATGACTCAGTTTGTTGGTCGACTGTAGATATTTAGCCAGTGCTTTGACTAGTTGGTATTTTTCTTGTAACGAGTGGTCACCGCCTCCTAATATATGCTCGATGGTAAAGGGTATTTTAAGTGAGATAAGTACTTGTTTGAAATTTACTCTGGCACTATAATGTCGGAAGCAGTGAAGGAGATAGTGTTCGATTGTTTCAGGCACCTGACAGTGGATGTAGATTTCATTGATGTCTCTCCTGTACTTCGAGCTGTGTGCTGCCAGTTTAGTGTGGTGGAGGTCTCGGGGACAATGTTGTGGTAAAGCCGGCCGCACTGCCTGGCTGCCTCGCTTCTGTCCCACACTCAACACACATTTTCTTTTATTACTGAATTTTGGGGTGACTACTATAATAATAAATCAAAAATTCAAAAAATTCAAATGTTTATTCAGGTAAAGTACATACATACAAGGGGTGATACAAATATTGCTGAATTTATAGATAGAGCTAGTAAATACAATGCCTAAAGCCACTATTACGCAAAGCGTTTCGGACAGGAAAAACACTAAAGACTAAAACTTAATACTAATTGAGATTAAAGTATAAAATGTGTTGAGAAAATCTAAAAATAAAAAAGGGGAGAACATGGCAGAAAAACAGCAAAAATACAATTTGGTCGACAAACAGCATTGTTTAAAAAAACCGACATGGGTTGACAATGTAGGGGTAAGGTAGGTTACAGGGAATTTATTAGGTATAGCTTCGTTTTTATCTTAAACTGGTTGAGAGAGGTACAGTCTTTAACATGATTGGGAAGGTCATTCCACATTCTGGGTCCCTTGATTTGTAAAGCATTTCTAGTTTGATTAAGTCGTACTCTTGGAATATCAAAAAGGTACTTGTTTCTGGTGTTGTGCTCATGGGTTGGATGAGAGGATGTGCATGCCCGCCAAACACACACCGAAACTATGACGTTGGTACAACGTTCGAACAAGTTTTACCACCTCCTAACCAGTTATAACAACCAATCTAGCAAGTTGTAACAACGTTCTAATACGTCATAAACACGTTAAGCCAAGATGTAACAACTTTATTTCAAGTTGTAACAAGCGGAAAATAGAGACAGTTTCGGTTTGTGTTTCCAGGGCAGTGATTTAATATCTAACATATTCAGAAATTTGAGTAGGGGTACCGAGTGATGTCTGGGGCCAAAGTTGGATATTGTTCTAATATAGCAGCTTTGTGTTGAGTAATTAGAGGACGTAAATGATTTTGGGTAGTAGAACCCCAAGCACAAATACCATAGTTGAAATATGGATAGATGAGGGAGTAATAGAGCGTCACCAGGGCAGGGCGAGGTACATAATATCTGATCTTAGAAAGAATGCCAACAGTTTTTTATTTTTTTTATATATATTTAGAATGTGTCCCTGGAAATTCAGCTTGTGGTCAATGAGAATGCCAAGGAATTTGTCATCTAATTTGTTACAAATTTGGGTATTGTTTATTCTGAGATTTATTTGATTAGAGGATTTATTGCCAAACAGAATATAGAAAGTTTTGTCAATGTTAAGGGTGAGTTTGTTGACCGTTAGCCAAAGATGGACTTTATTTAGCTCAGTATTTACTGTGGCATTTAGAGCAAGGGGGTTAGGACTGGAGTAAATGAAGGTTGTGTCGTCAGCAAATAGAATTGGTTTGAGGTGTTGGGAGGCATTTGGAAGGTCATTAATGTAGATGAGAAAGAGGAGAGGGCCAAGTATGCTGCCCTGGGGAACACCAATGTTGATGGGTAGGGTGGGAGAAATTGAATTATTCACAGAAACATACTGCAGCCTGTCAGTAAGGTAAGATTTGAGGTATTGCAGGGAGTGTCCTCTGACTCCATAATGTAATTTAAGAAGGTTTTGGTGGTTGACAGTGTCAAAAGCCTTACGCAGGTCCACAAATAACCCAACAGGGAACTCATTTTTATCAAGAGCTGCATGAATCAAGTTAATCATACTAATAAGTGCATCGTTAGTGCTTTTTTTGGGTTTGAAGCCATATTGACAAGAGCTAAGTATATCGTGTTTGGCTAGATAAGAGTAAAGCTGCTTGTAGATTAGTTTTTCAAATATTTTTGACAAGTTTGGCAGGATTGGTATAGGTCTGTAGTTGTTAACATCTGTGAGATCACCACATTTGTGGACAGGGGTTACTCTTGCTTTTTTTAGAATATCTGGAAAGGTTTGGAGTTCAAGTGACTTGTTGAAGAGCAATGCAATAGCAGGGGCTAAAGATCTGGAGGCTTTTTTGTAGATTAAAGTTGGTATCTCCTCAAGGGCACTAGACTTGGTTTTAAGGGAAAGAATTATCTCATTAACGTCAGTGGAATTAGTAGGCTTTAGGTACAGAGACTGTGGATAGTTACCTGTAAGATAGTCCTTAACATCAGTACTGGAAGATGGAATATCACTTGCAAGGGATGACCCAATGGAAGAGAAGAACCTATTGAACTCAATAGCAGAATCTGAGGCTGAAAGCTGACCATCGTTATTGGACAGGATTGTTGGTTTGTTATTTAAAATCTTCTTAGATCCCAATATTTGTGAAATTGTGCTCCAAGTTTTTTTAATGTTGCTCTTTATTTGGGTAAATTTATCCTCGTAGTATTTAGTTTTGGCTCGTCTAATTATTTTAGATAGCAATAACGATCGAGTAATTCTTTGAGAATTCTTTGGAGATGGTTCCTAACCTATACTTCTTCTCAAGGTCATGTTTTTTATTAATGGATTTAAGTATTCCCTTTGTAAGCCAAGGATTGTTAAGCCTTTTGGTTGTGACTTGTTTTGTAAGCATAGGACAGTGGGTGTTATAAAGGCTAAGAATTGTTTGTAGAAAAGATTGCACTGCTAGGGGAGCCGGTCGGCCGAGCGGACAGCACGCGGGACTTATGATCCTATGGTCCTGGGTTCGATCCCAGGCGCCGGCGAGAAACAATGGGCAGAGTTTCTTTCACCCTATGCCCCTGTTACCTAGCAGTAAAATAGGTACCTGGGTGTTAGTCAGCTGTCACGGGCTGCTTCCTGGGGGTGGAGGCCTGGTCGAGGACCGGGCCGCGGGGACACTAAAAAGCCCCGAAATCATCTCAAGATAACCTCAAGATGTTCCCTATGTTACCTAAGTCGGACTCCCAGTTGACATTATCAGCAGCAGTTATAAAATTATCTATAGCAGTTTCATTGTGCAGCCTAAAGCTTAACTCTCTTGTCTCTAGAGGTGGTTTGTTAACAGAAATGTGGGGTAATGGTCTGTAGTACTATCGGTGATTATACCTGAAGTAAGCGGAGAGGTTATGTTTGTCCAGATGTGATCTAGAGTCGTGGCAGTACTATCAGTGATTCTAGTAGGTCTAGTGATTAAGGGTATGAGGAAGCAGGAATTCATACAGTTGAGGAAGCTAACAGCAGTAGGGTGTTCAGGCTCGCAGAGGTCAATATTAAAGTCCCCTGCGATAATTAGATGGTTTTTGTTCAGTCTGTTATCGAGTATTAGATTTCTAAGGTTTGAGTTGAATTCGGACACATCAGTGTTAGGAATTCTATAGACTGCACCCACAGTCAGGACAGACTCGGCACCCTTGACTCTGAAACTGGCGAAGATATACTCCCCACAGCAGTCTCTAGTTCTAATTACTTTTAAGCATGTTAGTTCTTGGTGGTAGTAAAGAGCAGTACCACCACCTCTCTGAATTTGACGACAGTTGTGAATTGCCGAGTAGTTAGGCATGTTAAAGAGTTGAGTAATATCCTCATTCAACCACGTTTCAGTAAGTATAATAAAAGAGAATTTGTTGTCAATAGTTTCAATCAAGGCACTAACATCATCGAAGTGTTTACCTAGAGATCTAACGTTCAAGTTGATTTCAGAGATATTGTGATTATCTGTTAATACATTGTTTACATCATGTGCTGTAAAATATCTGCAATTTTGATCATTAAAGTGATGATTGTCATAGATAGTGGATAAGAGGTTTAGTTCTGGGTCTATACTTGTCTGCATAAAAAGGCTGGTTGTAGGAAAACAAGGCAAGAATGGCAATTACAAAATAGAATTTTGATATAAAAGGGGGAAAAATATATATAAACAAGACTATACAATACAAACACAAATGAACAAAAAAAAAGAAAAATGAGGTAGATTGCTTATAAATACTCTCAGGTACACTGTAAGTAATAATTTGCATTTTGAGACAGGCAAAGCCAGGGGGTACAATGGAGTAAGGGAGTATGGCGAGGCTAGGCAACCTAGGTAATAAATGAAATCAAAGAAAAAAGTTGAATAATAAACATAGGCAAATTTAAGCTAATGATTATTAACTATAAATAGTTCAGTTATGACTGTATAATTAACAAGACCTAAAGAAATATTAATGCACTCAATTAATTAAGACCAGTAAATGACTAGTAAAGAGTAAATTAAAAATTAATTTAAAACGTGAAACAAGGAGACTTAGGATACCTAGCCCGCACTAGGTGACAAGGGGGGTTAATTATGTTGATTCATTGAGAGTGATAATAAGGTGAGACAAACCACATTGGGAGAGGAAAGTGTTGAGGTTATCCTCTTTAGCAATTGTAAACATTTTACCTACTGAAGTCTTTCTCACTTTAATCAAGCCATCTCTAACGAAGCACTGATGAATTGCATCTGGGTTTTGATGACGGATTTGCCGCAGGCGGTAGAGGAGTTGCTGTCTTTTTCTAGTCAAGCACTCGTTGATGTATATTCCCATCCGTTGGGATGCAGCTGTCCGGACAAGATACGATTTCATGGACTGGCAAGTCAGCTTCAGGCGAATTTTCCGCTGGTTTTGTCCTGATGGATTCTTTTTGCCTACCCTATTTATATATACACGAAGTACATTGGATTAATGAGAGTACATAGCATTGATATTTTTACATTTTTGTAAAGCCACTAACACGCATAACGTTTCGGGCAGGTCCCTAATCTAACAGAAAATTTTAAGTAGGTAATTTTTAGCAAAATTCTGAAATGTTAACAGGTAGAATATAAGAAAATCTGTTGAAGATTGGTAAGTAGAGCACATTATTGTGTTGACCATCAGGCTCACCACAGCCAAAAAAGGCAACTCTATATATCTGTACATGCTTTAAGGGTTCTCTAAAGCAAAACAACATCGCCGTATTTTATTATTATATTGAAAAACATTAAATTATTAATATAAAAATTACATACAAGATGAGCATAGTAACATGGGTGGAGGATGGGCCATTTCAATTTATTTTCAATAAGGTTTTCTTTTGTTTTCCAACGAACATTTTTATATATCAAGACCCAGGGAGGAATAACCAACAACAAATTAAATGTGACTTATATTTGGTTTTATGCATCATTGTTATACATTGGAGCAATCACTGTTTATATATATATATATATATATATATATATATATATATATATATATATATATATATATATATATATATATATATATATATATATATATATATATATATATATATATATATATATATATATATATATATATATATATATATATATATATATGTCGTACCTAGTAGCCAGTGAATTAATGTTTTTTCGTCTACCTAACCTACCTAACCTAACCTAACCTAGCTTTTTTTGGCTACCTAACCTAACCTTACCTATATATATAGGTTAGGTTAGGTTAGGTTAGGTAGGGTTGGTTAGGTTCGGTCATATATCTACGTTAATTTTAACTCCAATAAAAAAAATTGACCTCATACATAGTGAAATGGGTAGCTTTATCATTTCATAAGAAAAAAATTATAGTAAATATATTAATTCAGGAAAACTTGGCTTATTAGGCAAATCGGGCCTTGAATAGTAGGCTGAGAAGTGAGTTCTGGCTACTAGGTACGACATATATATATATATATATATATATATATATATATATATATATATATATATATATATATATATATATATATATATATATATATATATATATATATATATATATATCAGATGCATGATTGGCTTGCGGGCAACTGGTTGAGGAGAAGATAAATGTTGTGGAAGATGACCCGGGAAAACAAAATTAATCGAAAGAGGCTTCCTGTCTCAGGCAGTAGAGAACAGTATTTCTTATCTTCTTCATTTGTGAGAAAATGTGGAAGATTAACTTTCAATGCTTCTGATGTGAATTGTTAAATTGTACATTACGCTAAAGCACTCCTAAGCATCTTCAGAGACAGAGGGACGAATACAAATGGGCATATATTGTATGTGGGTATTAAGAGTGGTGAAGTGGTTATCAGTCTGAGGGAATGGGTAATATTTCCCTGCATTCTTATTGGTTGACTGTGGCAGCAAGTGGGCTGCAAACTGGTATTTGTGTCTTGAGCTTTTTAGGCCAAGATACAACTACTAGTTTACTTTTTTAACAATTTTTTCTGAGTGTGTTTTGTTTTTGTTTAAAATTACTGATGACAGAGATTATTTGTGAGGAATGACTAAAAAACTTAAAACTCATGCCACGAAGAAAGAGGAGTATGAACAGACATGATTATCACGTACCAAATTCTCATGGTAACTGATAGGACACAAAAGAAGGTAAATTCATGTGTGAAATCTGAGGACCCACATCAATCACAGGGTTATTATTTAATTGTATCCTCTGCATCAAATAAGATGCGCTGAGAAATGGTGAAAACGGACTCCGTACAAAGTTAATAATGGGTATGATAGAAAGGTGAAGAGGCTTGAACATAAACACACAGTGGAATGAAGGTATTTGTATATCGGGGCGGCCGGTGGCCCGCCTGAGGACGCTGGACCAAACACAGGCGAGTGCTCCCAGGAACACTGTGAGACACTGCCACTGGTTCCTCACACACTCTTTACTTTACTCAAGTTCATATCTGAAATTATTTGAGTTTTAAATTTGAAAGTTTTATTAATTTGATTTTTTATTTATCTTTCAGAAAACTTTACTCATGTAGAATTCTCGGCTACTGTTTACATTCCACTTTTATACTATACATATAATCACTTCAATGACAATTTTATACTATACATATCCGCTTCTGTGACAATTTCCTCATAAGCAACCTACTGAAACGACTTTGTTTTATAGTGACACTATAAAGCGGGGCGAGTGGGGGAGTCAGCGGTGAGGTGCTAGGGAGTTAGTGATCTCACAAGTCGCGGAAAGGGGGGTGCGTCTGCTCTTATATTCCTCAGGGGTGGCACCAGGGGGTGAGAAGTCCTCCAGCCGTCCCTAGGGGCGGATGGCACCAGGGGGTGAGAAGTCCTCCAGCCGTCCCTCTCTGTGTTGCACCAGGGAATGGTAAGGCCGCCAGTCTTCCTCCGGGGTAGGACTAGGAGCCTGCTGGACTACCAGCCCCTCCCATAGATGAATCATGCAGGCTCAGAAGGTCTCGTTATCCTCTGTATAATTCAGGTAGTCCGTCGCTTCCTCCTCCATCAGCGTCTCCGTCACCGCCTGTTGTGAGGGAAAATGATGAGAGTGAATCTTGCTGCATGTGTCATTATTTAAGTTATTCATATTATTATCCTGGCATGAGGGTAGGCCGACCGCCTCATTCCATATGTTTTTATTCTTTTGAGTACGTGAGTGTATAGAAGTCTTCACAAAATACTTTCAGAAATCAGGCATTCTATTCCCTCCTGCTCTTCTCACATCCCATTCTTGATCTCTCCCTATCTAACCTACGATATCTGGGCATGGGGCTCAAATCACCGGAAACTAACACTAAACACATCATCACGCAGCAAAAAATAGCTATCAGAACTAAAACAAATTCTGTCTCCAGCCATTCTATTGTGTTATTTACACTTATAAAGCCTTATTTCTCAATACTAATCCTGATTTGTCCGTCGGAGGGAACTCAGTGAATGAAGGCGGAGTTCAAGAAATTGATGCAGATGCTCAGGAGAGGGATGCAGAAACAAGGGATAGACAAAGATGAAAAATCTAATTATAAGAAACTTTGCGTGAAAAGAAGACAAGAATAACCAAGAATTCATTGAGAAAATAATAGAGAAACTGTTAAACAAGGTGGAGGAATTAAATAGATCAAAGGTTGAGAGGATAGGTAGGCCTGAAGCATAGTACTAATAACCATTGCAAATATTGAGCACAAAAAGGTTGATAGTAAGCAGGGCCCGCGTACTCTAAGATCTAGGAGGGTACAACCAAGTATACATATCCCCAAACCTCTCAGGTGAGTAAAAAAAAAATAGACAGGGTGCTAAGAAGAAACCTGAAGGAGTTAAGAAACACAGATCAATAAAAAAATGCAAAGCTACGTGACTACTAGGAAGAAAACTGAGGATGAAATTAGGTAGGTTTTGGTGTTACTTTTGAATAAGGGGTAAGTTGGATAGGTTTTTAATGCGTTAGGGAGTGAGTTCCATAGACTAGGTCCCTTTATTTGCATAGAGTTTACGCAGATTAAATCTGACTGGGGATATCAAAGAGGTATTTATTTCTGGTGTAGTGATTATGGGTTCTATTGCATCTGTCCAAGAAGAGTTTCAGATCAGGGTTTGCATCTTGGAACAAGGTTTTGTACACATAAATGGCACAAGAGAATGTGTGGAGTGAGTTTATGTTTAGCATGTTTAGGGATGCTGCCGACCCATGCTCCTGTGGTCCAGGGCCCACCTCCACCATAATGCATAGGGTCTAGGTTTACCTCCAGGAGAACCTCGCTCTCTCCACCGCCGAGATTTTACGTCTCACCGGCCGACATCCTAGAGACAAGAGAGGGTGTTCACTCGCTCTTTTCCAGTGATTCGGACTTTGAGAAGATATTCACCACCATCGCCACGACCACCCTGCAAGACTCCGGCCTCACCCTCACGCGACCAAGACGTTATCTGGTGGACAGGACCGTGTTCGCCAGGAATATCAGCAAATGGATCACCGACTGCGACGACGACGACGACGACATCCTCGCCAGCATCAACGACCAGGACCCGACGCTGACAGCAGTAGCGGGATCGACCAAAACTACATCAGCTAATTTACTCCTGTTGGAATTCCCGATCTTACCCGGAAACCCGGGAATTCCGGGAACACACATGTGATTCTCTCACCACCGCCTGGCCTCTGGGGACGCCGCACCCAGCCGACCGCACTACCTCTGACCACACCTCCACTGGCCCAGCCTGCAGCCACCAAGATCACCCTTTTACCCGTCCTCCTTCACCTCGCCGACAAAATGGCGGACAACGACATACCCGCTACATCCACGTTATCAACAGTCTGCTCGTCGCGAATGGACTTCCGACAGTTGCTGTACCCGATGCCATTCTTCCAGCTTCCACAACTACTACCGGACCCTCCACAACTAGGGAGGGTCTGCCCTCGGGACCCCTGAGCCGACCCCGAAGGAGCTCTCACCGGTCGGCCAAAGAGACTACAGTCCCCGACCTTGTCCTACTGAAGTGACAGCTGACTAGGACGACGAGGCTAACTCCGAAGACTCGACCGACTCCAAACACGAAACCTAGGAAGCCGACCACAATGACTGGACCGACTCCGATGATTCAGTCGATGTCACCGGCCTTCCCGCTCCTCATATGACCGCCCAGGCACCATCTTCCCCTCCAGATCCCGCACCGGCACCAACCAGACTGACAGGCTCCCATGCTGCCTCTTCCCGGTATATTCGACATGGCAGCGCACTTTCCAAGGACAGACAGCATAACTCCATAATCCACAATGACTACAGAGAATATAAGTGCAGGGAAGCAGAACGGATCCTTTGCATGGTCGTCCCTCAAACGCCTCAACCACTTCTGCTACTACACCTTGAAGAAGAAAATTCGACCAGGCTACCAACATCAGGGAACTGGGAAACCAATCTTCTTGTAACACCCAGACATCTCCCTCTAGACCGGCCAGTCCGCCAACAGTCCTGCTGACTCCTATAGCACTCAGCTGTGAGCAACATGTGTACCCCATCAATTCACCGGTCTGACCAACTATAAGGTCTTGGATTGGATTGACGCGTCCACGGACCTTATCCCCACATCTCCAGTATCAGCTATTGATACTGATAGTGGCTCCAAAGAGCCTCCACTTATAGGCTCACCACAGCCCGTGCTACATGGAAATTTTGTTCCAGTGGCTGAATTTAAAACAACACAACAACAATAATATGTGTTGTACCTCCTAACTACTGCTAGAGAAGTTTAATGTGTACTGGGGTTATGGGGGAAAAATCCAAGTGAATGTCTGCCTTCAGAGGCTGTAGTACCTATATAGTATTGCATTTGTAGGTCTTACCCCTGATAATGTGGGGTATTGTGCATAGAGTAAATGTTGATTTAGGTACTCACCTAATTGTGCTTGCGGGGGTTGAGCTGTGGCTCTTTGGTCCCGCCTCTCAACTGTCAATCAACTGATGTACAGGTTCCTGAGCCTATTGGGCTCTATCATATCTACACTTGAAGCTGTGTATGGAGTCAGCCTCCACCAAATCACTTCCTAATGCATTCTATTTGTCTACTACTCTGACACTGAAAAAAACTTTCTAACGTCTCTATGGCTCATTTGGGCACTCAATATCCACCTGTGTCCCCTAGTGAGTGTGCCCCTTGTGGTAAATAGCCTGTCTTTATCTACACTATCAATTCCTCTGAGAATCTTGCATGTGGTGATCATGTCCCCTCTAACTCTTGTCTCCCAGTGATGTGAGGTTTAATTCTCGTAGTCTCTCCTCGTAGCTCATACCCCTCAGTTCGGGTACTAGTCTGTTGGCAAACCTTTGAACCTTTTCCAGTTTAGTCTTATGCTTGACTAGATATGGACTCCATGCTGGAGCTGCATACTCCAGGATTGGTTTGACATATGTGGTATACAAAGTTCTGAAAGATTCCTTACACAAGTTTCTAAAGGCCGTTCTTGTGTTAGCCAACCTGGCATATGCCGCTGATGTTATCCTCTTGATATGAGCTTCAGGGGACAGGTCTGGCGTGATATCAACCCCCAGGTCTTTCTCTCTCTCTGACTCTTGAGTGAATGTTCAAGGTAGTGCAAGTTCAAAGGTAGTGCAATGGGTCTTGTTATGGCCTCGTAGGAGGAGGGGGCCTCATAGCCTGGTGGATAGCGCGCAGGACTCGTAATTCTGTGGCGCGGGTTCGATTCCCGCACGAGGCAGAAACAAATGGGCAAAGTTTCTTTCACACTGAATGCCCCTATTTCCTAGCAGTAAATAGGTACCTGGGTGTTAGTCAGCTGTCACGGGCTGCTTCCTGGGGGTGGAGGCCTGGTCTAGGACCGGGCCGCGGGGACACTAAAAAGCCCCAAAATCATCTCAAGATAACCTCAAGAAGATAGGCTGCCGCCTGGAGCATTCTTACCCAGGCGCGCGTGTACCCGACCTGCGCGCCCGCACACTTGCACTTCTCAACACGGCTCACTTCTTGGTCATTTAGATATTTCATCGTTTCTTATTGCTTCGTTTTCTACACTCAAATTAGTTTGTTCTGCATTTATAACTAAACCCAGCTTATGACAGGCTGTTCTAAGAATGTTAAGAGAAATATGATTTTTGTTACAGAGATTCTTTGAGTAAGAATGTGTAAGTGTCGTCGTGACCCCTGGAGGATACACCTCTGATACTAATCTGTTTATTAACACATTCAATAAAGGCTTAAAAACCCCTTAAGGGGTACTTAGCTGAAACACCATTTCCTCTTATCGGAGACGCGACAAGCGTATACTGATACGAGCTCTAGTACTGGGGATCCGTGCCAAAGTGGGAACAGTACCAGCAATGCCCCTGACAACACACAATAGGCTGGGACAACACTTGAAGCAAAGTTGGCAGCCTTGCGAGCACAGAGAACTTGCAGAGAACATTCACTTACACACCATTCCGAGTTCTTCAATGATCAAGAGCCTGATGACATCAGCAGGCGCTACTGAAGAGACCAAACACTAAGTTGGTGCGGCTATTTATGTCGTACAGCCACTTATTAACACATTGTGATGGGACAAGCACACCAGTGCGACCACCAGTCCCACGGAGAAACAACACTGCCACAATGGCTGCTGCTGACACAAGGAAAATTAGGTTTCTCATTTGGAACATTTGTAGCATCAACAGAAGACTGGATGACTTAATTGCACATGTTGCCAGCAACAACATTAATATAATTGCTTTACAAGAGCCCCACACGTCTAACATCGCACTGTTTCTAGTGCTACCCAATTCCCCAATATGTACCTATGCCATACAACTTTACCATTGTGCTCATTGCTGTTATCTTATATCATGCTGTACACAGAGTTTACTGCATTATACCTTGCAATAATCCTCAAATTATGCTACAATATACTTGTGGATAATCCTTAAATTTAATTTAGTGTACCTACTAATCCTCTAATGTACCTAATCCTCTTAATTTTCTTATACAATGTATTTTTTTAACAAATCCACAAGGGCCGTGATGAGGGTTCGAACCTAAGTCAGGGATGATCCCAGACGCGCCTTAGTCGATTGCGCCACGACATGTTTAAAGAATGGTTTTCTGACATAGTTTTCTTTTACCATGTCATGGCGCAATTGACTAAGGCGCGTCTGGGATCATTCCGAACGTAGGTTCGAACCCTCATCATGGTCCTTGTGGATTTGTATCATCATTTGATGTATCACGCTATTGTGATTTCTGTATTTGATTATATGATTTAATGTATTTTTTTATACTTCCTTACAATGCATTTTTATACTTTCTTACAATGTATTTTCATACTTTCTTACAATGTATTTTCATACTTTCTTACAATGTACCTGTAAACATTTTTAAATATTGCTAGAACTTACCTTCTTAAAATCATATATTAGATTAAGGATCTGCCCGAAACGCTATGCGTGCTAGTGGCTTTACAAAAATGTAAAACTTCAATGCTCTGTACCCCCTCATAAACCCAATGTATCTTCTTGTATATAAATAAATAAATAAATAAATAAATAAATAAATAAATAAATAAATAAATAAATAAATAAATAAATAAATAAATACATAAATAAATAAACATGATAAACAAACCCCCACCAAAGATCATAGAGCACGTTCTCTGCGTGGAAGACTCTTTCTTGAGTGGGCGGGAAGATTCCCGCCCACTCCTACCAAGAGGCTGCAATGTGTGGCGCCCACGAGCACTGGGCCTTCACCCACCACCAATGTCACCAAGATTGCTTGGGTAGTTAAGCTATTTACAGGCAAAATATGATTGATTGATTTTTTTTTAACAAGAGTGCATAATGTTTTATATTCCGAAAAGAAAAAAGCACAATGACGGCAGAAAAGAAGAAAATAATACAAAGTTGATGTGTCATAAATCCTCGTTGTGCTTCCATTGGCACTACGTCAATTGGCATTAAGTTTTTGGTGCCAACCCAGACCCAACCATGATGAGCACGTACCTCACAGGGATCAGGGTGCAAAATTGAGTGAGATTAACCCCAAGCGTCTGGCCTGAACCTCGGACAGACATTTTAATTTATAGATATAGAGTAAAGCTTATTGCATCTTTTTTATATATTTTTGGGGGGGAGTGGGGGGTGGGGGAGGTGGGAGGATGTGAGGGGGTAAGTAGCAGTACCTACCTCCTCTCCTTTAGTAACAGGTTCCACTTGGAACACGTGGTCGGGTAAGTCCTCCGTAGCGGTTTCAACCTCAGCAGGTTCCACGACGCTTTGGTCTGTGACAGGCTCCAAGAAGCTCTGGTCTGTGGCAAGCTCCATGAAGCTCTGATCTGTGACAGGCTCCATAAGGCTCTGGTCTGTGACAGACTCCATGAGGCTCTGGTCTGTGACAGACTCCATGAGGCTCTGGTCTGTGACAGGCTCTATGAGGTTCTGGTCTGTGACAGGCTCTATGAGGTTCTGGTCTGTGATAGACTCCGCCTCCACAGCCGTGTTCTCCGATTCTACTGCCTCTGACTGCACCGTAGCTGGCATCAATGTCGCTGGGTGCAACGTCGTCGGGTGCATCATTCCCGGCATCATCGTCGTTGGTGGCATCATCGTCGCTGGGTGCATCGCACTCGTGGTTGCTGGATCAAGTGCACTCGTTATTGGTGACACTACCGGCAACCATTCGTTAGTCGTTTCTGGCTTCGTCATTTCTGGCTTAGTCATCTCCATATCAAGTTTCGTCATCTCTGGATGCATCCCTTCACTCTCCGGGTCTGGCTTTGTCATCCTAGGCTGCAGCCCCTCGCTGTCCGTGTCTGGGTTGAGCATTTCAAGCTGCGGTCCTTCGCTCTCCAAGTCTGGCTTCGTTATCTCAGGCTGTAGTTCTTCACGCTCCGTGGCTGGCTTCGTCATCTGAAGGTGCAACTCTTTGTTTTCTGTGTCTGGCTTAGTCATCTCCGGCTGCAGCATATTTTGGTTGAATCTCTGAAAAAAATGGAGGATATTAATTCACCTTTTAATATCTGCTTTGATAATCTTTCTTTAAATAATTCAATTTCAATTTCTTTCTTTGTTATGCACCCCATACCCATCCCGTGGGCGGTGGTGTAAAGGATTACACAGGCACATAATCGGTTCAGGAACTGAACCCTCTAGTTTGTTTAGCTAAGCAAATAACAATTTTTGACGCTAGTTACAAAATTATTAATGTTATATATACATGTACACATTCTCATGCATACATGTACATATATATATATATATATATATATATATATATATATATATATATATATATATATATATATATATATATATATATATATATATATATGTATATATATATATATATATATATATATATATATATATATATATATATATATATATATATATATATATATATATATATATATATATATATATATATATATTATATATATATATATATATATATATATATATATATATATATATATATATATATATATATATATATATATATATATATGCAACAATGATCACAAAAACACTGATCCAAGTATGCAGAATAACCACATATGAAAAATAGAAAATGCTTAACGCGTTTTCGGCTAATTCGCCTTCATCAGAGCAAAGTAGAATCAAAGTCAGTCTCTTTTAAAGTCTTATGAAGTCTTCGACGAAGACTTCATAAGAAGGAAAGTGAAAAGCCATGCAACCTCTGAAGAGACAACTAACACAACACCTATACCCCCTATTAGACTATTTTACAGGAACTTCTTTTCCACAGCTCATAAAACGGAGGAAAGGGTCCTGAAAGATATTGTTAATAGAAACGTTATCCCTACAGACAAAAATCAGAGGATACAACTGACGATTTACTATAAAACCAGAAAAACGGCCAGCCTACTCATGAGAAACTCTCCAGACACAAAACAGAACGCTTTAAAAGAGACTAACGTTGTCTATGCCTTCAAATGCCCACTTGGGGACTGTAAGCTCCAAAAAACCCAGTATATAGGCAAGACAACAACATCTCTTTCTAGGCGTTTAACGATGCATAAGCAACAGGGCTCCATTAAGGAACATATAATCTCTTCCCACAACCAAACCATCGCCAGAGAATCCTAGTAAACAACACAGAAATCATCGATAGATACAGCGATAGCAGGCGGCTTGACGTTTGCGAGGCACTACACATCAAGAAGTCAACACCAGCAATCAACAGCCAATTATTGCACAACTATATTCTACCCACCTCAAGACTCCGCTCCAATATAGAAGCATCAAGAAATATGGACCAATAGGCTTTCTACAAACACTTCTATTCAATACCCATTGTTTGTGTTCTGTCTTGTGTTGATACTTTTAATACCCTATTAATATTCCCTCTTGTTCTGTCTTGTGTTAATGCCACATCACCCCTCCCACCTCACTCAAATGTAGATATAAAATCGGAAATACGTAAGTTCTATTCAGTTGTGTATTTGTGAACTAAAGTCTTTGAAAATGTAATAAGTTTTACGAAACGCGCCCGTGTCGCGTCAGACTAGAAATAAAAATGAATTTTGGAGAATTAATTTTTGATTTACCTCCAACAGTGAAGCGTAATGTACGAAAATTGAGAAAATTCGTGTTAGAATTATTAATCTTACTTTTTCGGTCATATTTAATAATATATGTCTACAGGAAAGACTGCTACCAAAATATACTAATATATATATATATATATATATATATATATATATATATATATATATATATATATATATATATATATATATATATACGTATATATATATACATACACATACTTTAAATAAATAAATTAAATCTTCCATGATGATAATTTTAAAGTGTTGGCTGAAGGTTGTACCAGAGCCTTGGCGGAGCATTAACCAACCAATACGAACAAAAATGCTCACTGTCTGATTTTATAATCAGGTAAAACCTGGTGAAAAGCTATCCCTTCATTCATAATGATATATTACCAGGAATCTTAGCAAATTATCCAAAATTTGCTTACTGTAGGTGCAGCCTGCCCATGACTGTAAAGCTGCCGCCCAGTTGGGTGGGTGTGGAGCACATGACTGTAAAGCTGCCGCCCAGTTGGGTGGGTGTGGAGCACATGACTGTAAAGCTGCCGCCCAGTTGGATGGGTGTGGAGCAAGACTAGTAACTGTGTGACTCACCATAGACGTAAAGTGCCTTGTATTTTACTGATGTGAGCCTCTTGTTGAATCACTTGTGATATAAAAAGATTATTGATATGTATTTGTGTACATGGATGTTTTGACAGTAACTTGCATGATAATCAGAGAGCAGTAAATATCACCAAGGATGCCAATATGAGAACAGAAACGCATAAGGCGAACCATATCAAAAGTATTCGATTCACCAAGAATTCTATTGAGGGACAAGCGACCGCAAGGGACGGTCGAAAAGCAAGACATACTCGTCCTGGAAGTCAGGACATTCAACAAGGATATGCATGACTAAGAGTGACAATACAATTTGGACAATAAGGAGCAGGGCGGCGCTCCATTAAGTGACCGTGAGTTAAGCGCGTATGGCCAATACACAACCTTGCCAGAGCCGTTTCCCGTCACCGGTTACGGTGGTAGGAGGAAGGCCATGAGGACAATACCCTTAAGAGTACACAATTTGTTACCAGTAACAGAAGACCAACAATCCTGCCAATGGGTAAGGATGGAGGAATGAATAACTGGGCAAGTCAGAATAAGGAATACCTTTACAGGAGATGGGACAAAAGCGGACAGCTTCCCTAGCAACAGCGTCCGCACACTCATTTAAAGAAACACCAACATGGCTGGGAACCCAGCAAAACTCAACTAACTTAAATTTACAGGAAATAAGAAACAGCCAATGTTGAATCTCGACGACCACTTGATGGACCGGGGAGCGGGAGTGTGAAGAAAAATGCCCAAGGAAAAGGTGTTTCAGAACTGTAGGAAGGGTAAAAGCTTTAGTGATGCGGGTCAAGAAAGAACAAAATTTTGGAAGGGGGACTCTCCATAGGGGCAAGGAAATAATAATACGAGGAGAAATATTAGAAATACCAACCGAAAGAGAATCTTGTAAGCGAGATAACCAGACAGAAAGAGGGAGGTGGTGAAGAGGGACAGGAACTACAGGAGGGGTAAAAGTCAAAGCACGACAGAGGCGAGAGGAAGGATGTTGCAAGGTCGTATCTTGCGGATACGTTTCCAGATCTGCGGCAGAGGAGTTTCGGACGTAATGGTGGAAACATAAGACTTCCAAAACTCATGCATAGCTGTACGGATGGCCCTATGGGCCACTGCACTCGCCTTCCGAAAAAAAAATAAATAAATTCGGCCATCTGCCAGCTGCAGTGCCTCTTCCAGGCTGCACGCTTAAAGCAGACAGCCCAAGCACAGTTCACATTCCACCAGGGAACGCACTTCCGTGATCCCCGAGAGGCAGCGTCGAAGATGGTGTCATGAAAGAGGAGGAGGGCGCGAGGGAGAGGTAGAATGGAGAGGTCAGAGACAGTAGCACGGAGGGTAAATAGCTTCCAGTCTGCCTTGGCAAATTACCACCTAGGGAAGGAGAGGGGAGGGCGAAAAGAGAAAAAGGTAACAAGGATGGGGAAATGGTCACTGCTATAAAGGTCAAGAACCCGCCACGTGAAATCCAAGTAAAGAGATGACGAGCAAGCAGAGAGAAAGATCAAAACAGAAAAGGATCCAAGAGTTCAAATGAGTGGGCTCACCAGAATTCAGAAGAGACAGGGAAGAAGAGAGGATGAATGGTTTGAGAAGGTGACCCCGGGTATTTGTCAGAACATCACCCCAGAGGGTATGTCGACAATTGAAATCACCCAGCAGGTGCACATGCTCCGGCAAGGAGTCCAGTAGGTGTTCAAGATCGGGAAGATTAAGCGGGATATTTGGAGGGAGATAAATGGAACAAACCGTGTACCATTTATGCATAAAGACACGTGCAGCAGAACATTGGAGAGAAGACGGAAAAAGTAGGGGGAACAAATGGGAACATCAGAACGAATCAAGAGAACAGAAGAGGAATGGGCCCCAGCAAAAGCTGGGGAGGGAGAGAAAGGAATAGCCACGGAAGCGATCAGGACGAGCACCAAGCATCGGCTCCTGGTAACAGACATAAAGGGGCGAAAACTGTGATATCAGAAGTTGGAGTTCATGGAAATTGGTATAATATCCACAAATATTCCATTAAAGAATAGACATCGACAAGAAGAGAAAGGACAGCAACAGAGAACAATGAAGAAACAAAGGTGAAAATGGAACACAATATGTGAAAGAAGCGCAGGATCAGGATCAGGCTCAGCGAAGTCAGGGTTAGGAGGCATAGGTAAACTGAGTAAGGATGGTGGGAAGGGAGCGGGAGGACTGACCAGAGGTAGATGAGCAGGATCTGGAGGAGGAGGAAAGGGGGGGGGGGGACAACCGAGGTTCAAAGACAGCATCAGCAGGAGGGGCAGAAACAACCAGGGAGCACACTTCAGCAATGGCAGCAACCGAGAGGGAAGCGGGAGCCAAGAAAACCACCATAGCAGGAACAGGGGGCGCAACCACCGAAACAGGACGGGATGGAGCGAGAGTGTCAGAGGTAGGGGGCGAGGACTTTTTACCTGCCAGGGAGGAGGAAGGAGATCAGCCAGGCTTTCACTTCTGACTCGAAGAGACAGGCGTCCTAGCAACAACAGACAACAGACTCAAGTGTCTCAACAGAATAATTTCTGTGTTGCTTGTTAAGATGTCTCTAGTGATAGTCTGGTTGTGTGTGGAGATTATATGCTCCTTGATGGAGCCCTGTTGTTTGTGCATTGTTAATCGCCTATAAGGAGATGTTGTTGTCTTGCCTATATACTGAGAGCTTTGGGGCCGACAGTCCCAAAGTGGCATGTGAAGGCATAGACGATGTTGGTTTCCTCCAAGGTGCTCTGTTTGGTGTCTGGAGAGTTCTTAATTAAGAACTATCCAGACACC